CGGAGCGAGGGGCACGGGGAGGTTTCACTGTGGCGCTGGGGGGCGCGGAAGAGGGGGGGGAGGTGGCGTGCGTTCGCGACGCGGAATAAAATGGTCGGGGCGGAGGGGGCACTGGGCGGGACTTGGGGCAGAGGGCCGCGGGGCGGGGGTCCAACTGGGACGCTGGGGGCGGGGGGGTGGAGGAGGGGGGAGGCGCGCGTCGCGACGCGGAAGGAATACTGTCGGGGCTGAGGGGGCACGGGGCGGAGCCCCCACTGGGGCGCTGGGGGCGCGGGGAGGGAGGTGGGGGAGGTGGTGCGCGTCGCGACGCGGAATAAAGCGTTCGTGGCCGAGGGGCAGTGCACGCCCACTACGTGCCCAGAGGCACGGTGGCGGATTAGTCGCAAAATCGCCCGTCCGACCCGACCCGACCCGCCCGATATGGTCCGCCCTCCCGACCCGACCTCGCCCGTTAGTGTTCTCGCGTGTCAATTCGATCACGCGCGACTCTTTATTGTCCCGCCCGCCCGACCCGACCCGCTCGTCGTTAGGGCCCGCCCGACCCGACCCGACCCGACCCGCCCGTCAGGGTCCGCCCGTCCGACCCGACCCGACCCGACCCGCCCCGCCCGCTAGGGTTCTCAAGTGTCAGTTCGATCGTGCGCCACACAGTTATGTCCCGCCCGGCAGACCCGACCCGCCCGTTAGGGTCCGCCCGCCCGACCCGACCCGACCCGCCCGTTAGCGTCCGCCCGCCCGACCCGACCCGACCGACCCGCCCGTTAGGGTTCCGCGTGTCAGTTCGATCATGCCCACACTTTAATGTCCCGCCCGCCCGACCCGACCCGCCCGTTTGGGTCCGCCCCCGCCCGACCCGACCCGACCCGCCCGTTTGGGTCCGCCCGACCCGACTCGACCCGACCCGCCCGTTAGTATTCGCGTGTAAACTCATTCGATCACGCACCACACTTTTGAATGCTTCGCCCGACCCGACCCGACCCGCCCGTTTGGGTCCGCCCGACCCGACTCGACCTGACCCGCCCGTCGCCGGCGACGTCGTCCTCTTCTTCCTGCTGTTGTTGCCTTTCCCCCTTGCGCCCCGCGGCGGCGGCGACGACGGGAGCGGCGACGGCGGAGGAGGAAGACGGGGGAGGGAGGAGGAGGGCGGGGAGGAGGCGGAGGAGAGGGAGGGAAGGGGAGGGGGAGGGAGGAGGAGGGCGAGGGAGGAGGAGGATGAGGAGGAGGCGGAGGAGGAGGAGAAGGAAGAGGGGGACGAGCCAGAGGAGCAGGGGGAGGAGCTGGGTCCGTAGTCTCCGCGCCGACGTCGCCGGCGGCAGCGGCGGAGGAGGCTCCGGGCGAACTGGCTCTGGGCGAACGGGGTTCCGGGCGAACAGGCTCCAGGCGAACGGGCCTCCGGTCGAACAGGCTCCAGCTCAACGGGTTTCCACCAGGCGAACGGGAAAGCCTCTGGGCCAACGGGCTTCCAGGCGAACGGGCCTCCGGGGGAACGGGTCTCCAGGCGGACGGTTTTCGGGCGAACGGGTTTCTGGGCGAACGAGCTTCCGGGCGAACGGGCTTCAGGGCGAGCGGTCTCGCTTCGCCCGATCCGGCCCGTCCCGACCCGAACCGTTAGGTTCTCGCGTGTCCATTCGATGATGCGTCATACTTTAATGTCCCGCCCGCCCGACCCGACCCGCCCGTTAGCGTCCGCCCGACCCAACGCGACACGACCCGTTAGGATTCTCGCGTGTCCATTCGATGTCGCATGATATTCTAATGCCCCGCCCTCCCGACCCGACCTGCCCGGTAGGGCTCGTCCGGCCTGACCCGACCTGCCCCGTCAGGGTCCACCCGACCCGTCTCGACCCGACCCGTTAGGGTTCTCGCGTGTCCATTCGATGATGCATGATGCTTTGATGTCCCGCCCGCCCGGTCCGACCCGCACGTTAGGGTGTCTTTCCTTCGGGCCTACCCCTAGGCCCACCCTAGGCTTTCCCCTAGGCTTCCCTTAGCCCCACCCCCTAGGGTTTGCTTTCCTAGGCTTACCCGTAGCCCTACCTCTTACGTTTACCTTCTGCTTACCCCTAAGTTTATCCCCTAGGCTTGCCTTAGACCTAGCCCTAGGCCTTCCCCTAGGCCTACCGTAGGCCTACCCCCTGGGCCTTCCCCCTAGGCTCACCCTAGGTTCAACCCTACGCCTACTCCCTAGGCATACCCTAGGCTTATCCCTAGGCATTCCCCCTTTCGCACTTGGCCTACCCCCTAGGCCTACCCCCTAGGCCTACCCTAGGCCCACCCCTAGGCCTTTCCCCTAGGCCTACCGTAGTCTACCCTGGGCCTACCCCTAGACCTACCCCCTAGGCCTACCCTAGGCCTACCCCCTAGGACTTCCCCCTGGGCCTACCCCCTTGGCCTACCCCCTAGGCCTACCCCTGGGCCTACCCTGAGGCTTCCCCCTAGGTCTACCCCAGGCCTAGCCCTAGGCCTTCCCCCTAGGGCTAGCGTAGGCCTACCTGCAGCCCTTCCCTCAATGTGTACCCTAAGCCCATCCCTAGGCCCTCCCCATGTCTACCTCAGGCTATTGGGTAGGGCCTCCCCTAGGTCTACCCTAGTGCCTTGGGTAGGGCCAACCGTAGGCTGCCCTAGGGCCTTGGGTAGGGCCTACCGTAGGCTGCCCTAGGGCCTTGGGTTGGGCCTAGGGTAGGCTACCCTAGGGCCTTGGGTAGGGCCTAGGGTACGCATCCCCCCGGGTTCTATACCAATACGATGGCGTGACATTGATGAGCGCGATGCCTCGGGGTAAGCAGGCAGGCACGTAAGTTCGAAAACCATCAGACAGGCAGGCAGGGCACAAGCATGCAGGCAATCACATCATCAATCAAGAACCATGTGAACACGCACGCGCACAGAAAAAAAAACAGCACGCACGCAAGCCAACACAAGAGCAAGTAAACAAGCAAGCCACCCAGGCATGCAATCCTGCAAGCAGGTACGCCAAGCAAGCAAACAAATCGGGCAAGCAAGCGAATGACGCAAGCATGCCGAGCAGCGCGCAAGCAGGCACCCAAAGAAGCGACCGCACAAGCAGGCAAATCACTCAGGCAAGCAGGCATCGCAAACAAACGCGCCATCATGTGATACTGACATGCTGGATTGGCATGCCCCACCCCCCGCGCAATTAGGTTCACCAGGCGAAGCTTAGGCCCCAGCCTCTGATGCCTCTGATGAGTATATCGAGAAGCGTGCGCTTCGCCAGCAATATCTCAAAATTCGAAGAATGCTCCCACGACTGCCATTACCACGAGCACGTGCTGCGACGGCTGCTACTCCAAGCGGTACCACAAATCCAATCGTACCGAAAAGCCTTCGGCCCATCCCGCCACCGTACCTGGGTTGTGGGTACGAACCTTATTGGATGTTCATTGGGGTCTCGGGGGAGGCCTCTCGGGGGCCTCTTCGAGTCAGTTGGACGCGTCTTGGGGACCGTTTTGGAGCTTCTGGGCGTCTCTTTTGGGCCTGTTTGGGACCTCTTGGGGGCCTGTTGGGACCTCTGGAGTGGCGCCTCTTGGGGCCTCTTGGTGGGGGGGCTCTTGGAGCGGAAGGGTTGGATTTTCGGTTCGTGTGCCCTCTCTTGTGCCCCTTTGGGGGCCGTCCGGGGTCCTCTTGGGCTGTTTTGGGCGCCTCTTGGTCCGTCTTGGGGCCCTCTTTGGCCGTTTTGGTGCCCTGTTGGATGCCTCTTGGGCAGTCTTGGGGCCCCGGGCGGTTTTGGGGGCCTCCAGAGCCGTCTGGGAGCATCGGGTAGCCGAAAAGGCGAGAACGCCAAAAACCTTCAAACACCTCAGGCAAATCAATGATTTTGTCCTCTTGGGGCCCTCTTGGGAGGCCTCTTGGAGGCCTCTTGGGGCGTCTTGGAGGCATCTTGAGCCGTCTGGGGGCCAGCTTGAGCGTTTGGGAGCGATCTTTGGGCGACTCGGGCCCTCTTGGACCGTCGTGGGGCCGTGGGCCCGACAACCTCACGCGACAAGATGCTTGGAAGCCCAGGGGAACCGTACCAAGTGCCGCCGGATTTCGGACGTTGAGGTCTGGGCCCCCAATGGTGTCCTCAGAATTGGACCTGAGGACACGCCCCCTCCGTGCCCAGCGGCACGGTGGCAGATTTCTTCGAACATTGATACCACCACTACCTCTGCGTTTGCTACTGCTACCCATATGCTCCTCATCGCGCACCTCCTCCACCACTTCCTTCCTCTGCCTCTCTCCTCATCCCCCTCGCTCCCACCCACCTTCCCCCCTAACCCCGCACCCCGCAGCAGGGCAATCCCAGAGCCCCCAGACCCAGACATTCGACTACGTGGTTATCCATGCGCTGCCAGTGGTCCTGACCCCTTCCACAGGGATATTTTTCTTTCTGGATCAATGCTTGATGACCCCAGGGCTCGATGTCGGGCCCCAGAGGCCGAAATCGCAGAACAAGCACGGGACCGCAGAACTCAAATCGCTGGCGATTGGGGGATTTGTTTGCTATATCTTGGCCATTATGTTGAACCTGAGTGGGGCCAGAGTAAAAGGCCGACTCTACACAGCTTGTTGATACGTTTTAGTTGCGGGCGTTGTTCCTAATTCTTTGGCTTCTTGCCCTTAGATATTGATTTCCGCCACAAGATTCTGAGGGCACATAAGGCTCTGGGCCCGATAACGTACCCCAGAGGCTGGAATCGCTGAACACTTGTGGGACTTACCAATCCATGAAGTGTGGTATGTTTGGAAGTTCATTCCTGCATGGATAATGTATTGACATGTAAGTTTGTAAAAGGTTTCTGCAGGCCACGAAATGTTGCTAGATGCCGCTCAATGACGCAATTAAGAGGCCACGAAGGGCCGCTAGCAATACAAGAAACATTGAAGGCTACTAGACCGAGGCGGCATATGTTAGAATGACCTTCGATGCACCTAAAGTTCAGATTGCTGTAGATATGAGGGCGCTCTCGCCGTACTCAGCACTCCTCCCGTCCCTCACGGAGGCACCCGCCGTCGCCTCGGTCGAGGGCACGGCCGCCAGCGCGCCGCCAGGCGGCGAGGCCGGCTCGGCCACCGACGTGGCGGCAGCCGAGGATCGCCATGAGGGAATAAGGGCCCGATGCCCTTCAGGTTCTCCGCCAACCTCCAGCTTTCGGGGCATTCCACAGGGACGCACCCAGGCGTCCTCCTCGCTCTCCTCCTCCTCGTCCTCCTCCTCCTCCTCGTTTGTTTACTCATTATCTTCCTCTGCCTCCTCGTGTTCCAGCTCGTCCTCTTCACGAGTAGACTGCAGCTCCAGGGGCTGGCGGGCACCGAGACCGTAGCTGGCACTTTTCGCTGCGGCCGTTCCCTCCAAGTGCGCCCTCGCGGGCGCACGCACACACGCACCTTACCTCACGTGATGTTGTCAGTTCTTCTTGTGCGCGTCGTGTTGGTCATGGTGACGTACGTGCATTGGAAATGCCCGAGCGCGGACACCGATCGATTGCATGATTTCTTTGGTGATCTCACGATGACGGACGTAGTCGCAGTTACAAGCAGTGGGGAGAGAGCGGCACCCGACCGCTTGGCGACCAGTCGGATTTGAAGTATCAATTCGCGGTGCAGTGCGGGCTCATACCTGGATGGCACGTCAAATCTGGTGGCGTTGCTGTCTTGCTGCTCAAGCGGGTGTTCAAACGGCGTGATGTGGAGGGCGTCCCTGCTGCCTCTGTGGCCCTGCAAAGGCGCGTCGCAGCGTTTCGATGAGATCTGGCCACTTCCACGCGCTGATCCCCGCGCTGCGCGCTCCCCGCGGCCGGGCGCGCGCCGAGGGGGTCGCGGGTCTCAGGTGGACACCGTCCTAGCGCAGAAGGCGCTGACGCGGTCCAAGCGCCGTTTTTCGCTGCTGATTGGCTCGATCTGTGCGACCCGTTCGGCAGGAGGCCTCTCGGAGGTTGTGCTAGTGGGTGGGCGTGCCCACCTGCGCTTGGTCCTTCTGTTAAGGGAGAGCGGCATTATGCGGCTGACCAGATGCTGGAACTCATGGGGAGACGCGCGGTGGCCGTGTCGACCTCGGCCTACGGCCTCGGCGTCATTGTTTCGGGGCCCGCGCGTCCAGTAGCGTCGACCGCGTTGCAGCGCTCCCTTGGCAGACGGCGTCTGTCACACATTGTGCTGCGTTGCGCCGGTCAAACCTGAGACTGAAGTTGCGTGGGCTGCCAGGGCTGCGAGACCACGTTCCTCCTCTTCTAAAGGTCGACTACAGCTTGAATATCAGCTCCAGCTGTCTTCGACTCGTTGGGACTTCGATCGATTGGCGAGTGCGTCGAGAAAGGCAGTGGGAGTGCTTGGACTCTTGGAGGATGTGGGGGCCCAGTTCAGTAGTGACCGCGACAATCGTGATCTTCGGCTACATGAGAGTGCTCCAGATTGCGGATGGGAGAGGTGGGTGACAACGCTGCGCTCGACGGCGGAGCGCCGCTTCGCCAGGGGGTGCGCGTGCGACCCCAAGTCGCAGGAGCATCGGCGCGTCCTCAGTCAACTCCTTCGGGGTCGTCGGCAGGCGAGGCAGGAAGGTGCAGGCGACTTGGTGTCAGGCATGCTGATCGTGAGGCGCAGTTGGAACGCGAGACTTCTCAGGCGCGCGCCCCGGGGCGCGACGACGGGGCAGTTGGTCGACGAAACCGGTGAGGCTTGGCGCTGTCGGCGACGCGCTGGCGTTTGGGGGGAAGTGCAGTGTCACCGAGCGGCGCAGGTTCATCGTCGCTGTATCGCGCGCCCCGAGGACGGGGGAGATCATGCTTCAAGCGTCCTGGAGCTGAGGGCGGCATCTCGGCCGTGCCCGTGGAGTTCTACGACTGCCAGCAGCATTTGCCGGAGGATCTCCCGAGGCTCCTGTCTTCCTGCAGCGACGGTCTCAGGCGCGTGGAGCTTTGCCCCGACGATCTCGAGGCTGCGACAGAGCTGGCGGCGAAGGTGCCTCGATGCAAGGCGGCGCCGTTGCGGGCGACCTCCTCGGAGCCGATCCTGCTCGTGCTCGACCCGACTCGGAGATTCGACGGATCTCGCCGGAAGCCTCGAAAGGCCTAGTGATGACGATGATGGACAACGGGTTGTCCCGCGCCTTTGCGCAGAGTTGGCCCCCCGGCGTCGGATCGCTCGAGGTCGGCGGGGCCCTTGTTCGGAGATGGCTGCATCCGCCGCGAGCGAGTTTAGCTGGAAGGCCTTGCAGGCGGTCTCCCGTCGCATGCTCCGGGTTCATCGGACACCCGCGGCGCGGCGTCGCTCGCGGACCGCCGGTCTGGACAAACGCGATGGCAAGGAAGGCTTCTCGGTAAGGCGATATGTATGTGTGTATATATATATATATATATATATATATATATATATATATATATATATCGGAGTAGGGCCCGGGGGCGGTGCGCTGCCATCTCCATGGGGGTGCAGGGCGCCCCCGGGAGCGTCCGAAGCGTCCCGGAGGGCCCCTGGGACCGCCAGGAACAGTTCGAGACCGCCCAAGACGGCCCGCGAGCGCTCCAAGACGCGCATAGATAGCCTCAGGAATGGCCAGGAAGGCCCGAAGACGTTCCAAGAGAGCTCCATGAGGCCCCGAAGGCATCCCAAGAGGCCTCCCAAGAGAGCCCCGACAAGCCAACATCGTTGATTTTTATTGTTTTTTCTAGGTTTTTGGCCTTCTCGCTTTTTCGGGGTTCCGACGCTCCAAGGCCGTCCAAGAGTCTCCCAAAACCGCTCCAAGACGGCCGAAGAGGCCCCCAAGACCGCCCCAAGACGGCCCAAGAGACCCCCAAAATCGTCCCAAGACGGCCCAGGAGAGCCCCAAGATGGCCCAGGAGCCGCCCAAGACGGTTCCAGGAGTGCCCCGACAGGGCTTCAAGACTGCCTAAGCGAGCCCAGCGGTCCCCAAGAGGGCCCCGCGAGGCCCCAAGAGGCCCCAAATGGGGCCCCCAAAAGCCTCCCCGAAGGCCCCCAGAGGCCCCCACGATGCCCAAAAATGACCCTGGGATCGCCCCAAGACGCCTCCAGGAGAGCCCCACAGGCCTCCGAGAGGCCCAAAGAGGCCCACTGGAGGCCCTCAGGAGGTCGTGCCCATCATGTTCCCGGACGGCGGTCCGGGAACATGATTCCGCGCCTTGGAGGAGTATTCTGCGCCTTCCGAGGCGCCTTGGACGACGTACGATTCATATTCTTGAACGCTTTCCGGGAACATGATTTCTCACCGTTTCAAAACGTTTTCCTACTGCTGCGGTGCCCTGGGGGGAGGGGGCGGGGGCCCGGGCACGTGATCGGGAGGTTCGGGAACGAGGGTTTGGAGAGGGGCAGTAGGACAGACGGACGGGGCCCGGGGGCGGGGGTGGGGTGGCGCCACCGGTTGGCATGGCCGCCCCGGGCGTCCGTGGGGTCCACGAACCCGCCCAAGACGGCCCATGAGGCCCCAAAGACAGTCCAAGAGACCCACAAGACAGCCTCAGCGAGGCCCAAGAGGGCCCCAAGACGCTCAAGAGCGCCCCAACAGGACCCGAGATGGCTTGAAGATGGCCGAAGAGGGCCCCCAGAGGGCCTTCAAGAGGCAAACACCGGCCTATTTCCATTTGTAAAGCATACATTTTCAGCACACTCGTTTGCTTGGTCCTCACAGTGCCCCAGACGCCCCCGAGCCCCAAGACTGCCCAAGAGAGACCCAAGAGGGCCCACGACGGCCCAAACGGGTCGTCCTGTGAGGCTCATGGAACCCCCCCAAGACGGCCCAAGAGGCCCCAAAGCTGGCCCAGGAGGCCCCCAAGACGGCCTCAGGAAGGCCCAAGAGGGCCTCGTTCGAAATCATGTTCCCGGAAGCCTCCCCGGGAACATGATTTCCGGGCTTCTAGGGCGCCCAAGAGGGCCCCAGGACGGCCCCACAAGGGCTCTAAAAGGACCTTCAAAAAGGCCCGGATGGCCACAGTTCGCTGATTTGCGTGAGATGTTGTTGGATTTCTTCCGCGCAGAGGAGACGGAGAGGGCGAAGGAGGAGGAGGATGAGGAAGAGGAGAAGGAGGAGGAGGCAGGGAGGAGGAGTGGAGGGGAGGAGGGGGGAAGAGAGGAGGAGGCTCGAGGGCGATCGACGATCGGCGACGACGACCGGCGACGGTGATTGACGACGACGACGACGACGACGATCGACGATCGACGATCGACGATCGACGATCGACGACGGTCGACGACCGACGACGACGACGATCCACGACGATGACAACAGTCGACGCCGCCGATCGACGATCGACGGCGACGACGACGGCCACGCCGACGGCGGCGACGCTGCCCGCGTGACAGCCCAAGAGGCACACAAGACAACCCCATCGAGGCCCCAGAGGGCCCCAAGACGTCCAAGAGCGCCCCAAGAGGGCCCGAGATGGCTTGAAGATGGCTGAAGAGGGCCCCAAGAGGGCCTTCAAGAAGCAGAAATTGACCCATTCCTCTTGTAAAACGTACAATTTCAGCATACTCGCTTGCTCCGTCCTCACAGTGGCCCCCGAGGAGCCCCAAGACAGCCCAAGACGGCCCAAAAGGCCCCAAAGCCGGCCCAGGAGGCCCCCAAAATGGCCTTAGGGAGGCCCAAGAGGGCCTCGTTCGAAATCACGTTCCCAGAAGCTTCTCCGGGAACATGATTTCCGAGTTCCCAGGGCGCCCAAGAGGGCCCCAGGACGGCCCCAAAAGGACCTAAAATGACGCTCGCTGATTTTCGCGAAATGTCGTTGGATTTCTTCCGCGCGGAGGAGACGGAGAGGGCGAGGGAGGACGAGGAGGAGGATGAGGGGGAGGTGGAGGAGGGGGAGGAGGAAGAGGAAGAGGAGAAGGACGAGGCGGGGAGGAGGACTGGAGGGGAGGAGGGGGGGGGGATAGGAGGAGGAGGCTCGAGGGCGATCGACGATCGGCGACGACGACCGGCGACGGTGATTGACGACGACGACGGCGATCGACGATCGACGATCGACGATCGACAACGGTCGACGGTCGACGGTCGACGACCGACGACGACGACGATCGACGACGATGACAACAGTCGACGCCGCCGATCGACGATCGACGGCGACGACGACGGCCGCGCCGACGG